CAGACGCGCCATACCCCACCGCAACCACAGTGCCACTTTTCAGCAGGACCCACATTAAGAAAACAATGACCTCAGACCACCTTGGGTTCCGGAATTCGCGCATGGGACAGCATTCAGGTCGCTCGCGGCAACAGCGCCCCGGCGGCGCTCTCCCAGACCCACGGCGCCACTCCCAGCGGTCGCGGCTTTGTGACCCGTCAGCTGAGCGCCACGATTACCACGGTAACCCGCTGCGCTGACGAGCCGCCAGGATCACGTGCAGACCGGCGCGCACCGCCAGGCAGACACGCACACGAAAATGAAGAAAATAAAAGAAGTGGGGTGCACTCACTCCACATAATAGGTTCCGTACTGGGGGTCCTCGATCTTCTCCCAGCCATAAGGCAGCTCTGCGGATAAACAATTCAGAGATTAACACTCGGGTGAGAGGGGAGGCGATGCACTGACCCGCCTACGGCCACCCGGCCAGCCCTGACAGCCGTCAGCGCCAAGGCACGCTCAAGTCACTGCCGTTTGAATACCGCTCGTCCTCATAGATGAATGCCCTTTAAGTGTCCAAGGGGGCCGTACTGTCGGGGAGGGGGCCGGGTGGACGGCGTTGCCAGAGGCCCCGCTACCCCCCCATTCTGACTATCACTGTATGATGAGCAAGCAGGGTGGATAGAGCCCTTCATGCAAGAGGAGGCTCCGAAATTGCCTTCCCGAGGTAGTGCGCTGATGAGCTCTCTGCACGTCTTTTAGAATGTATTAGAAACTGGCACCAAACGGTCCAACCCCCCCCCCCACCACTTGCCCCCCCCAGGCTGCACTTGGCTGTTTGCTTAGCTCCGCAGACATCTCAGCACCCACAAGTGATACCGGCACACGCAGGATGGAGGCTGGCAGCTCTCTGTGTGCGGCAAGGGCAGGGGGGCAGCTGAGAGCCAGCATGCGGTCTCACCTCCATCCTCACACTTCTCTGGGGGCTTGGCCTTCTTAGCAAGTCGGGGGTCCAGCCAGGTGGTGGTCTTGGTGTTGTGACTGGCGAGCAGAGAGGCACGGTGCCCATCAGTCATTTACAGTCCACAATAACCGTCACTCTCCGTGCCGAACACACCAACAAAACAGCGCTACGCTTTAATTCAATTTATATAGCGCCTTTCACAACACAGGGTGCTTGAAATTGATGAGTAGTAATATATAAATAGCAATATTTTACTACATCATTTATACAGACAGACAGAAAGACAACTTTATTAATCCCCAGAGGGAAAGTAAGTTGTCACAGTAATAATACATGAAACACAGAAAAAGGTAAGATAGAAAAAATTAAATTCAGAAGCCAAAGGCACAGGGGAATCAAAAACTCCCAAAGAGGAGGAAAAACTAACTTTAGGGGTCCAACCCCCCAGGCATGATAAAATTATAGAATATAGGGAAAATGAGCCCCCTTTAATAAAAGCAAAGGGCAAACTGTGGCCATGGTCAAAACCAAAGTTCACCAATGAGCCAAATGTCGAAAGTCTGACAGCATCACCAGCATCATGCCATTCCTATCTTTTCCTGCTATCGCCCAAGCTAACACCCGAAGGCTAAAGACACTAAATAAAACAAAGAACATGGTTAAAATACAAGGTGATTATCATACCTGAAGAGCTGAACCGAACAGTTTTAACAAGCCAGCAACATAAAGAGCCATGTCTTCTGTGATTAACGGCCTGATTAGAAGGAGCCCTTCCTGGCTGCCTTGAAATGCTGAAAAGCCTCAGACACAAATATTTGCCAGTCTAAGGCAGATATCTTTATAAAACAAGCAGGCCTCCGGGAAAGCTATTTACTCAATTGTCCTTCAACCTCGGCAAGAGAAATATTGATTTTTCCTTCCTCTTCCCTCCCCTTTTCTCGCTCTCTCTCTCTCGCTCGGTTGGCGTTGACGTCACCAGATAACAAGGCTTACATCATTATTTGTTGCGGGTTGTGTGTGTGTGTGTGTGCGTGCATGCGAACACATACCGCTGAGCTATACAGTTGTATCTCTGTCTTTTTCCTGTGTAAGACACCCAGTAAACAAAGGTAATCTATGTGTTAAACTATAGAACAATGTCTGTGGAATCAGGTCATACAGCTAAACCTAGGGGGTGTGTAATGCAATACATCATATGTACACATTTATTTCTGAACATGCATACCCAGACATATACGTACAGAAGCTGATGAATGTGACTAACAAAGACCAGCTGCAATTAGACATCGCTTGCGTGTTCTGATTGGACAACCAGCAGTGTCATTTCGCCACTAGATCTGACAGGTGGACTCAGACTCCAGTACAACACCAGGAAATGAAAAGGCATTACTATGGATGGGATAAACAGCCCCCCCCCCCCCCAACACCTTGAAGTGAGCTGTACTCCCTATAGGGATGCCGTGTAGCCAATGGTGTTTGTCAGCAGGGGTACTCACTCGATGAAGTAGACCATGCCGGTTTCTGTGTAGGCCATCTCCCAGTTCTTGGGAAGCGGCTCCTGGCTCTCGTCCCTGGGCAGAGAGCCCCATGTACGGAAGTCCATGGTGTTGTTGGACTGGGTGTAGCTGGGGACGCTCTTCCTCCACTCTGAGCCTCCATCCTGGTGCTCTGCGATCCGGGAGGGAGGGGGCACAGGTGAGCGGCTACAGACCCTCCCCATGTCCCGCGGTCACAGGATTTACGAGTTGTGACGTGACGGAGGGGGCAGTACGAGGCAAAACTGGCCGAGACCAGCTCATCCTTCTGCTTTAAGAGGAGCGGCGCAGCTCGCATGGGTGCATGTTAATTTGCATGCTTATTTGCAGGCCTTAAACAGTCGTTGCTCCGAGAGCTGAAGCCTCACTCACAGCTATGGGTTTGGCTTCTGCGAGCTCTCCTTATAGAACACTCCTAGCACAAACTTCCCGTCCTGAAGACCGAACAGGACAAGCTGCATGGTGCAGAACCTCGTGCATTCTGTCCTTTTAACAGCATCAGGTCAGCAGAATCAAGGTTAGACACTGATTACAACAATAACAGCAAAAGAAAAAGTGCGTGGGCTGAAAATGCCCCACCCACAAGTCTGGGGCCAATGGCAGTGGCGAATCATATGACTGTAATGTGAGCCGGGAGTGACGCGAGTCATGTCGCTGTGTTTTAGACGCTCTGTGTGTCAACATGGCATGAAAGATGACATGCAGTCAAAACTCCAACCACAACCCTCTGCTCACCAAAAGCATCCATTTTCACAAAGACAAAGCCGGCAAATTGACTCAACCTTTCCGCCTTTAATTCTGGGACGGGATGCAGCTGTGCAGGTTAGGACGCTATGCATGTCATTGGAAGGTCTACAGTTCAAATCCTGTGGTCAGCAGAGTGGTTTCACCTTAGGGTCCCTGAGCAAGGCCCTTAATCCCCAATTACTCCAGACACTGCCATTCTTTCAATTGCACATCGCTTTGGATAAAAGCATGCAATAAATTGTAGTATTACTGTACTTCAGAGGGATTTAATCACAGCATCCTCAAGCAGTAATGCTGGAGATTACATCACCAACCATCTATTGTATTACAGGATGTACCAAATCATGGGGAGCAAAATTACCTACAAACAAGTCTCAATGGCCCTCAAAGACCATCAAGACCGCGACGGCAGGTGACTTTACCTTCTGGCTAGCATGCAATGGGCTCTCTGTCCCTGTTACTTGAATGCACAAGGTCTGGTAACGTTGTGAGCTGCTGGTCGTGAAAGTGAGAGCTGGCCTGTCCATTGAAATAGCCAGACAGGCACGCCGATGAGGTGCCCGGCTGGTGAAGCGCACTGAGCCAGGCCTTCCGAAGGCCGCCTGATCACGGAATGCACCCCCGCATGCTTAGAACAGAATGTGGCTCCATGACACTCCAAAGCCCCCCTTTCGCACTTCAATCAAGCGACTTTTCGAAAACGAGCATCCGCAGTTGTGATTAATTAAGCCGACATTCCGGAATTTTCCATCTCTTGCCGGCAATGCTGGGATATCCTTCAGCATAGCAAGGGCAAATTCTTTGCCCTGAGTGATCGCATTCCTCTCCTAATTGATCCCTGACATAATGTGTCTTTGGATAATTTTGATTTAAAGTGCCCTTGATGCAAACTGTTTGGAGGGTATGTGTGACGGCGTGAAGAGCGGTAGCTTGGCTAAATATTACAGCCATATTACAGACTTTATGGACAAGACACAACAGGTGACAATTTAAAATCTGAGTGTGTTTAATTAACAGCTCTCTTCAGTGGGTTTTAGAAAAGATCAGGCAGTAAAATGTACAGCATGAATAAAACCACCACCATTGAACGATAGAGGTTCACCTGACCTGTCAGCCCATTGATAGGAGGGGTCCTCTCCTCATCTTCCTCTTCCTCAGGGGCGGCACTGTCCGTCCTCTCCATCTTGCTGACGGACGGGGTCCGCTTTCGCTGCAGCTCATTGTCGAACTCCTCGTCAAACAGAACCTGATCCACAAGGTCGGGCTGCACGGGGCTGGGCTCTGAAGGTGGCTTGGGGGTTCCGTAGTAGTTACCTGGAACGGCGAGAGGACAACATGCCAATCCGTCACCTGCAGGAGAACCACAGCTAGGGGGGGCGCTGCTGACAGGCTTGTTTTTTTTTTTTATGAGTTCCCATCAATGACCAGGAGTTCATAATTTGGACCTTGAATTGGCCAATCTACAGACCTGCCCTGGGAACGGGGCAGCCGTGCATTGGGGGATGAGCTTCATGTTTGCAGGCAATGGTCTCGGTGAGTGTGTGTGCGTGTGAGCGTGCGTGTGTGCCTTTAAGAGATCTATCAACATCGCTTTATTGTTCTGTGTCCCAGAAGCACCCAAAGCAATAACCGCACATCTTCATAAAGTGGCTCAAGCTGCATTTCTATGTTCTTTTTTATATATATATACATCCTTAACCCTCCAATCACAAATATGACCCATTTTGTCATTCCTCAATTAAAAAAAAAAAAAGCTACACAAGCTGACAACATGAACATTGATTTGCATGCAATGCGTCCCCCATTAGAAATTGTAGAGCATTGATTCAACTTACTTTGAATAATTTCTAAATAATTAATGAAAATTACCTTTGGTGTGCAACATCCCAGCAACTTGCATGCCACATTAAAGACTTAATTATGTTAAATTATTTATTTACTCATTTGCTCCTGGATCTAGCAGTCAGTGGTTGATGAACAAAAACATCAACGTTGTTCTTAAACTGACACTGCAGAATTCACATTAAATTTATTCATACTGAAAACTATTAATTTGAATTAATTACACCCTTCATTAAGTTGATAATTTATATAGAGCTTAATTGAAGAATGGGAAAAGATGCCAAAAGGGGATTCATCTTTTTAAACCAATTAATTACCTTCTAAACCCTACCTTTGTTTTAATCTATATTTCCATGGGGGGGCTGCAGACTCCATTAAATGTATATTTATAGTTTAATTGCAGCAGTTTCCTGCTTTGGAGTACAGCTTGATTCATTGTTCAGAGACAATAAACAAACAGATAAATCCCCAAAACAGACTGAAGATTTTAAGTGGGCCCACAGTGTCGAATGAGGAAAAAAATGTACGTAGCAAAGAGAAGAGTAATTTGTTTTGATCCTTATGCACAGTGTGTACCTATGTTAATGTAGTAAATACGTAATGCAGTTTTAAATCATAATGACGTATGATTTAAATTAATCACACAAGACCTAGTCTAAATGCATTTTTTACACATTGTGAGTACATTTAAAAATAAAGACCATGATCAATTTATTTTGCTCAAACGCAATGTATACAGAATAAAGAATCCTTGTCTCTCCAGTAAATGTCACCAATCAGAGCTGCAAAGGTTTCCGAATTTAATGAACATAACAGGAAAAAAAAAAAAAAAACAGGGAAGGAGAGCTGAGTGATTGAATGTCCTTGCATCTTTTCTCAGGGTAAATGTCACCTAAAAATCCACAGCTCGCAATTTAAAGATCTATTGGAGTCTAGCTCAGTTTCAGGCACCTGAACAAAGGCTGAGAGAGGGCATGGATGCTTCAGTAGTTTGCAGCAGCTAGTCTTATTGGACCATCGGCGTAATCAAGGCCAGTGTTTCTCTACCCAGTCCTTGGGGAATGCCAGCCAGCCCACATTTTTACTCTCTCCCAGGTCCCAGCCAATCACAAATGCTAAATACCTTGTACAGGTGTGTTGGGAGCTGGGAGGGAACAAAAACGTGGACTATGTCGGGGGAGTCCCTGAGGACTGGGTTGAGAAACACTGATGTAGGAGTAAACGGAAGCCCCTGCATGTGACTCACAGCTTAGAGTCTCTCACTGTGAGCAGGAGTGTCTGAGAGGCTGACTGGTCGCCAGCTGCCAGTGATCAGGAAAAGCAGCCTAACGTATGCATGCTGATATCCCCCGCAGAGGGAGACCACCTAACGTATGCATGCTGATATCCCCCGCAGAGGGAGACCACCTAACGTATGCATGCTG